GATCAAAATAAACTATAAAATAATAATAATAATAATAATAATAATAATAATCCCTTACACTTATATAGCGCTATTGTGGACACTCCACTCAAAGCGCTTTACAGTTCATGGGGATCCCCTCCACCACCACCAGTCTGTACCCCCACCTGGATGATGCACCAGTCTGCTCCCCACACACCAGCTCTCAGTGGGGAGGAGAGCAGAGTGATGAAGCCAGTTCAGAGATGGGGATTATTAGGAGGCCATGATTGGTAAGGGCCAATGGGAAGTTTGGCCAGGATGCCAGGGTTACACCCCTACTCTTTTCGAGAAATGCCCTGAGAATTATAATGACCACAGAGAGTCAGGACCTCGGTATTACATCTCATCAGAAGGACGACACCTTTTTACAGTATAGTGTCCCCCGTCACTATACAGAGGCAATAGGACCCAGACAGACCACAGGATGAGCGCCCCCTGCTGGCCCCAATAACACCTCTTCCAGCGGCAACCTTAGTTTTTCCCAGGAGGTCTCCCATCCAGGTACTGGCCAGGCTCACACCTGCTGGGCTTCAGTGGGGCTGCCAGGTGTGAGTTGTAGGGTGATATGGCTGCTGTAAAAACATTAATTCCCTCCCTTTGTTCTGCGAGATGTCTGATACTGTACTTATGGTAATTATAGTCCTACTAATGTAAATAAAAAATAGAATAAAGGAAAAGTTAATTCCACGCTGAAAAGCAGAAAGGAAAAACACCACAAGAAAGCATACCGGTTTAAATGTCTTTTCTCTTTCTCTGTTTCAGTGTGGAATTATCCACATTCTGCTTGTTCTTTTGCAGCCGAGACAAGCTGAAGGCTGCCACAGGTCTCCACTTGAAGAAAAGAAAATATAATTATAGTTTGTGTAAATTAAAATGACGAATTCATAATCAGATAGGCATTTATCAGCGTCTGGGTTCCAGATTTCTAACTGGAAGGATGTGGATTTGAATCCCAGGTGAGACGTTGCCGATGCACCTGAATGGCTCCAGTGAAAATACTCAACTGTATAAATGGGTTCAAATGGAAGATGGCAAGAGCATCAGCCAATTACAAGTAATTTAATTCATTGAAGAACTGACATACTGATTACTTGTCTTGTAGTGTAAGATGCACATGGAGAGCATTGTGCCTCAGTATGATATGTATAAATGATATGTGACTGACAGTCCTAGAGAGGAAAATGGAAAATAACTTGTCATGCGGGCACTTATAATGTAGGCATTACTTTTATCAAATCAGCCTTCATGTTGAACACAAGCCAGTAGGTCCCTCATATTCACTTGTCGCATTGAGTTTGTCATAAACAGCTTCAGTAAATATCAGCTCAGATAGTGGATCAGTGAAGAAGGATAATTTGGATGTGCGTCTGAGGTGCCTGGAAATCTGAACCAACCTGGCTTGTCTTCAAGTTGGTTGGCTGTAAAGTAATTGGATAAGCCTCTTGTAAGACTGTGAAAGTGTTCAGTTCAAAGCAATTGGTGAAGAGCCCCAAACACCAGTAGACAAGAGAATCCTATGTATGAAGAGAAGGATTAGGTTGTATTATCAAAAGCCATACATAATTAAACTAACTTTTTAGTTTAAACTAACGATATAATATTTTTATTATATAGCACTTAACTTCCATTCTCTGGGCCTGAGAGTTCCCACCTCTGTTTACTACTGAAGGATGTCCCAGCGAAAATTCAAATTTCACCTCCCTGCTCCCTGCCTGTAGTGCTTACCACAAACGCACACGTGTCGCTGGTGTTTTCACTGAAGAGGCCAAAAAAAAAGCTTTAGCCTCTCAAAAAAAAAAAAAAAAAAAACCTTTTCTCCAGTGCCAGCTGAATTCAGGTACTCAGATTTGTGGGAGATCAGTCCTCGGTGCTGCAGCTCCACATCGATTTTCTCCTTTTCCCTGGGTCCAATAGGATGTGGACTCAATTGAGTTGCTGTGCTCCAGTTACTCAGAAGGAGTGGTGTGGAGGAGGTCTTTCCTTTGACCCTTGGGCAACGTAGACCTTTTTATTAACTGTAATATTCCACTTAGGATAAATATTCCTGGGAATTTTGAAACATCATAACAAAACATGAAAGTGAGGTTGTAGAACATGCACATAATGATTCAGAAAAAAGAAGGGGGGAGGAGATTAATATTTCTGAAATGCTGGTTGCAGATATTGCAGTGTAAAACTATATTCAGAATAATTCCTCTGAATGTGCCTCAAACATCTAAAGTACCAGTAATGATCGGCTACTTTTTGATGGTTCTTTGATTCTCTGAAAGTAAGGCAAGGCTGAAGCTGCTGCCCTGGCTTATTACAAGACCTCTGAATCAATTATCTACTAGTTCCCAGCAGCCAAGTAAACTACAGGGGCTGAGGGGCCTCCCCTCTTTTGTAAACCTGTGTTCTTATAATAAATCAGAACTTGTATTTCATTCGTGCACTGCATTAGGACACGATTGCCGCTTGTAACTTGTCTAAATTGAGCTAGTTGGTGCAGTTTAGGATTTAATTGGCTTCATTTGACGTTTTCTTTCTGGTGAGTTTTGTCTCGTACTCCCACAGCCCTTTTGCTGCTGTCCTTTACAGAAGACCGAACTCTTCTCGAGGGATTGAATGAAAACCAGCCGATCTGATCTCCACCAGCCCGATGCTTTTGAAAGGGTTGGTCTAGATCGATTCTGGAGCGGGTCACCTGTTTTATGATCAGGCCACTGGAAGGGTGAGGGTGGTACCTTCTGCCCAGGGAACAGGCCAGAAGGTGGTGGACCCCGCTGGGTGGTGGCTACTGAGCCGTTTGATTGCCTGGGGGGTGCAGCAGGTGCCACCCTCACCATTCCAACGCATCAGCCTCGCGTTCAAGGGCCTGACTGCAGCCGCATCGGCTGAGCCGGGGGACAGCGCCGGCGCAAGGAAAAGTCTGTTTTTTTTTTTTATCCGTCATCTCCGCGTGGAAAAGCAGAGCAGCACCTGGGAAAAAAAAGTTTGCTTGTTGGTGGTAATGAAGACGGTAGTCTCACTTTCTGCCAGTGTCAGGGAAGCAATTAAAAGCCCCGCAGAGTAGCCTTCCTTTACCTAGGCAACACATTAGTGCATGCGTGACATGACACGGATCGTGATAGCGGAGGGGTTTTAACGCAGGCACACAGAATAGGCAGTGCTGATACTAGCAGTAATCGCAGAAAGACTAATGCCCTCTTCTCCGCGGAATCACGTTCTTCAATGACACGGCTCTTCCTTGTCTAAACCGTATCAGTCATATCAGCGGTTGGAAAATCACCTTTCTATGTTTTGGAGGAAGGTTTCTGCATACTTCCATGACTTCCGCAGGTCGCATTTAGGTCATTTGCGCTTGATTGAGTTGCATGTAAGTTTACCGAGAGCTGTATTTGCAGTCCCATGCAGTGCGTTTATTACAGCGGCTCGGTTCAGGACCACGGACAGATCCGCACGACACTCCATCTCTATAGCTTTGTGAAATTAAATTTGTCAGACAGCCACAATCCAATCTAATACCAATAACATTCCGACCTGAGCCTGTTAAAATGATATACCATCAGATGAAGCCGCCCAGCCTCTCTTTGCTCGTAATGGAGTGTTAATATGTAGCTCAGTGTGGGGGCTTACAAGCCCGGCGATTCCAAAGGAAAAGACCGTGGTTAGGATATCCTTAAAATCGGAAGAGGTTAATGCAGACACAAAGGAAAAACTGGGCACGGGCCTGAACCACACTGTCTCAAGGGAAGGAATTTGTGGGAGGGGTGGGAAGACTCCAACACCGGCCGTGTGTGTAAAGATCGATTCGCATGATCTTGACCGCAACTGGACTGGACACGGGCGACCGAGAAACATTCATTAACCCCGCCTAGTGCACATAAAAAAAAAACAGGACTTGCGTCTAGTTTCAGAAAACAAAGCAATCGGCTGGTGTCTGGGACAGAGCAGTTTCGGGGTTAGGTTTAATATGATCCGCCGTCAAAGAATTTGACAGTTCTTTATGTAGTCTTGAATTGTCTTGCTAGAAAACGGGTTTTCTGGAGTCATTTCTATCCAGCATTTTCATTAACATCAAGTTTCACTGTGTAGTGCTTAGAGCCTCTTAAAAAGAGGCGTGGACTCAGCAGATTGCAAATGCGGCTGGCGCGGTGGAGCTGAACCTGTACTGGGGCAGACAGAGCTTGTTCTTGAGACGATAGGGACTAGTGCACGTGATTGTACTGTACTCTCGCTGAGGTCGCGGCAAGTCCTGAACTTTCTCATTTTTATTCAAAGGCAAAAATTAAAATGTAGGGGGTTCAGGTGGGGCAGCAGCGTCAGCATGCGTAGGCTGCAAAGGAGCAAGTAAAGGTTTAGTCCAGGCAGAAAAGAGAAGAAAGAGAAAACGCAGCGTTTCGGCTGTGGAGTCTTCTTCAGGTGTGTGGTAATTTCAGAGGTGGAATTTATGTCAACCTAAATTAAAATTGATGTTAGGATACGACAAGGCACAGGTACATGTTTTCAGACTGGTGTGGGTGTTTATGCTGTTAGGAATTTTTATTTCCTTGATTTTAGCATAAGATGGGGCGTTAAACGCCCAAGTCCCCTTCCTGAAGCAAGAATCCAGACTGATCCGATTCGTGCCCTTCTGCCGACGTGCCGCACGCACGATTGTAAGAAAGTTATGGGTACTGTCCATCCCGCGTTCATGGCTTTAAGAGGATAAAGGGGTTGATCTGTTCTTATTTCCGTGCGATGGGAAAAAATTAGGATTTCGAAGCGGGGTTTTTAACGTCCCCCACCCACAGTACACAGCACGACCGCGGGTGAGGAGAGAAAATTCGTGCCCTCCTCGTCCAGCAAGGAAATACGGACCGATCCCGCTTGTCCGCTGTACCTCGGGGTGAGCTGGAACGGGCAATGGGGAAAACTCGCTCGCTGTTTTGTATAATAGGCGGAATCTATTAGGGCTATAAATTGTAGAAGTCAGAGCCCCCCCACTCCCCCCCCCCCTCTCTGTCTCCCTCTCCGGTCTCCTCTGATTTGAATAGGGAGGAATCTGCGGAGAGCGGCTGTGTCTGCCAGCGCTCTTTTGTTCAGTAGCTCCGTGCTGCCGGCGAAGTACAGATCGGCTCTTCCCGCCGCCGATCCCCGCTCTCGTCCCCCGTGTGGCAGGACTTTTTTTGGTTTTCGGATCCGGCTCAAGCGTTTGAAGCCCAGAACGAAACCCCGGTTTTTGGACGCCCGCGTGTTGTTTTATTCCCACCCCCCTCCCTTTTTGATTGATTTGATTCGATTGATTGATTGACTGACGCATTTATTTTGAGGGAGAGAAAAGAAAAAGAAGAAGAATACAGTCTGCACCGGTCATTGTTCGGTCGCCGAACGGTGCAGCACCATCTGATTTTTTTCCTCCTCCTCGGCGTCCGCGCCGCCTCCGTCTCCAGCAGATGCGAGCGAGAGGGACCGCGGCACTTGAGCTGTTAGACTCCGCTCAGACCCGACTCCACTCCGCCCGGGGCCCCCGGACCCGAGCACACGCCGCGGCGGGCTCCGAACAAAGGTACGGACGTTGTGGGTTTTGTTCCTGTCAATTAGCTTCGGAGTTACTTGATTTTTATTCTATTTTTTTTTACCTCGCACGATTCCGCCGGCCTTGTGTCTGGTCTTTTTTGTTGTTTTTTTTTATGTTTTCCGGGGGTGCAGATCTCTAAAAACGCCGGGGGGGAATCTTACGGAGCTACAGAGCTGCAGAACAGCTACCCCGTGCACAGCAGCGCAGCGTAGTGCTTTCGGCGGTCTTGAGAGGGCGGGTTGTGTGTTTGTGACTTTGCTTTCTAGTATCGGAATCTCGCTGGGTCTGCTGTAGATCGGGGACGCGCTTGGGTATTTTTTTAAAAGTTGCGCAAAACAAGTCGCGATAAAAAAAGATATATTTTGAGGTCCTGTTGGATGTTACTCAAATGGTTGAAATGTTATGCATGCGTTGTGCATACAGTCGTTTTCTCTTTTTTTACGTTGAATGTCTCGAAAGTTATGCCTGAGCTTCTTTTTTGCAAGCGACAGCTAGTTTAATTCTCGAATCCTGTATTTAAGGGTCGTAGCGGAGCCGGCGGCGTGTGGTACAGTGCAGCTGGGTGATTGTAGTGCTTCGGCAGTCGCCGGTCTTTTCCATAATTTATTTTATGAGCTGTGTGCATGGCAGAAGTAAGAAATCTAAAATCGTAAAACTCAGTAGTATTCCGTGCTTACAGACACCTGCTGAAATGTGTGTTTCCAAGTCCGATAGGATCTTTTTCCTTTTTCTAGCGTGCCAGCTGCAACCTTTGTCTTTAACTGCGGCGTTACAGCAGAATTCCTGCTACCCCGGCATCTACTGTGCAAACACCCTTTAATATACCTGGTTACATGCGGATTGATGCCAATATAACTTGAAACAAGATTAACATAATTGAACTCTCGCAATATATTTGAATGTACTGCACGATACGTGCAGTGATATTACTAAAGCGTGTCTGAATGATGATATACCGCCGAGCCCAGAACTGCATCTCATGATCAGTGCAATTTTCTTGTCATTCCCCGAAGGAATGTTGTTTTTTTTTTTAAGAGTGGTAGATTTAATTGAACGCTGACAACCTAGTTAAAGGGCCATCTGTCCCGATGGACAGAGCCAGGGCAGTTACAGACAATTGCCTTAATATCGGAGGAGTTCTCGGGTGGCTGTGTGTGTTTTTTTTTAAATGTATTTAAATGGTGATTAAAAGGAAAACGTCAGCCGGAAGAATTGAGAGCGCCTCTGTTAAATATCTGCTGGTCTCAGTGACCGCAGACATCCTGCTAAAACGGAATCGGAGGGTTTAATGAGGAGTGAAAACCGACAGACTTAGCGTTTGTGCTATGTTTTAATTTGTTGAAACTTAGAAATCCGCATAAGTCCTGAGCAGATATCGAACACTTCGATATCCGTCTTCCCCAAGACCCGTCACATTCTTGCCTCGCATGGATTTCCCCCCCTTTTTCGGAGGAGGGAGTTCTTACAGTACTGTCTTTGTTTTCTTCTGCGACCGACTTGCACACACGGAGTGTTAGAACACATCCAGTCGGTCCAGACTGCCAGAGTGATGGGATGGGGTAGGATACGTCGGTCCTGTCATCTCTAAAACACCGCTAGCACTCCCTTCATACTGTACGTCTGAGCTTGATGGAGCGCTCATTCTTGAACAGCAGGGTTTGCCAGCTGTCTGCCGGCAGAAAGCCTCAGTTTAGATGCGTAAAATCAGAAAAAAAAAACTTTGGGATCCCACGCAAGGCGCTCCGCCCCACCACTCCTCCTAATCAACAGAAGAAAGTTGCAAAGTTCATCCATAAGGTGAGGGTCTGGGACTGAAAACTCTCCAAGGGCAGCTTCTGAAGGTGTGAACGACCTGCGCGTCGGCAGAATGTGTCATTCGCTCCGTCAATATCTGTGGTTTCTCCCTTCAAGGACGTGGGTGCCTGTTCTTGCCCGCCCCAGTTCAGAGTTTGAGGCATTCATATGAGTGAAAAACAGAGCTTTCACTGGCCGCTTGTCAGACTTCATTGGGAGCCAAAATAAAGAAAGTATTAATAAAGGCAGAAGAATAACGGACGCAGCGCATTCTCTCCTCAGGCGTCCACACCACCCTTTCCCCTGGGTCAGAGATCAGATACAACTTCTCTCCCACTAAACCGATTACCACAGTAAACATTAAACCTAAATGGGGACATAGAATCCAAAATGCTGAATACGGTAACACAAATTAAACGTCTCACACCAGCATGACTAGATGGGCTGGCAGAATGACAGCTGTTTGTGGGCACAGAGAGGAAAGAGCGATTTGCGGAGCGCATAAAAAACACACGTAAAAGCGGCTGCTTTATGGTTTCGAAGATTTTATTTATTGTTGCCTACTGGGGGCCTAACGAAAAGACAGAATTGTTATGTAAAACAAACATAGTTAATTTGCAGTGAATCAGGCTTCTTCTGGAAGGAAATCGCCCATAAAACAATTCCGTGTTTTGCAAAGAGCTGAAAGCGATCCCCCACCGCCACCAGCTCCGTTTGTTCAAAAGAGGAAGCGCGCTGTCTGGCCTGCACACCCTTCAGCACATTTTCCGTATCTTCAGGGATAAATAAAATCGAGGAGACACCTGATTCCGTGAGGCTGAGAATCATTATCTACTGACTCGGATACCGACAAACAGCAGCTCAATTTTGATCTAACGGGAGATGTTCTCTTCGCGGTCCCCGGGCGGTGATAAATGAGACCTCTCTTTCTCCAGCTCACATCCTTACAGAGCCAGTGATTCGCTATCAATTAATCAGCCTTAGCCTGATTCCTCGAATCTTCCCGGGTGGCATATCTGCATGTGGCATCCTGAGAGGCTATAGGGACGCTGAACTGCTTTATCTATGGGCTTGTGCATTTCACAGACACCACAAAGGAGCAGCACAATGGAAACAGCTCTGCTTACAACCTGTTTGCTACCTTATGGTGCCTTATTTCAGCTTCTAATAATCCATGCATGCCACTACAAAAGACAGACAAAGCCCCGCCATGAAACTAGACCGGCACAATTGTCATATTCATGAATTATCCCAGTGCTGCCGGCCATAGGAAAGAACTGTTTTGAAGTACAGTTACACGGGTTTGCTGTAATTCTATAAAACATTTTACCTACTTGACCTTTTAATGTAATATACTGTAACATCTAATTCGCCAATTTAACATGATCTCCCAACCGTTTTAATTCTCGTCTCTAAACGTATTTCTTCCCATGCCAAGGCTGAACAAAACGCCCATTCAAAACCGCGTGCGTCTCTTTCATTAAAGAAAAGATCCGGATTCTCAAATGGCGCTGTCTGTGTGCGTGTTTTCCAAAAGAAGTCATAATTCTGAATGGAAGCAATGTTATTTTAGAGGGTTCCTTTTGTACTGCAGCGTTAATGAGTTGAGATGTGGCCTTGGTCCAGCAACGCTCCCCAGAGCCTTTGTTTGTAAATGTAATTCTAACATGTTAAATGCGCTAAAATATAATTCTCGTCAGCTCTCCTGCTGGTTTGGGCTTTGAAGGTGCCACGCCAATCTGTCTTTTCTCTTCTCTTTGCGATGTGTAAAGATGTTACACATTGATATTGTCTCGTCATGGAGGCTTATGCAGTGGGATTCAGCAATAGAAGCAGAGCTACCTGTACATGCATCTCCCCTGCAGGCTTGTGTCTTGAGTTCTGTGTGGCTGTGCACACAGGTCTAGGGCCTGGATTACTCACCTTTATGACAGCCCTCGATGCGTGAGATCAGAGAGATGTTTTAATAGCTGTAATGAATGTTGAGCTGTGACTGCTCAGAGGAACAGGGGGCTTGACTAGTCTACTGGCAGACATGGTACAACCAACTGCAGGAGTAAACAGTACCAAGAGGTTAAGAGTTAGTTCCACCACTTCTTGAATGCTAAATGGGACTATATATATATAAAAATGATGGGTTGTGTTTCAAAAGAGACCTGACTTGGAGCACTCCGGTGAAAATGTGTGCATGTGTTTTTTTACAGTTATAAAATATTTTTAAAGCGTTGTGATTTGTCAGGTCCCGGTTATTGCGGCTTTGTGAGAATTTGCAATGTCATTTATTTTTCCCCATTTCTTTTTATAGTGCCAACTATAAATTGGGCAAATTGCTTGAGGGAAGGTATCGCGCACTGGGATAAAATCATTAAATTTAAAAGTTCTCCGACTATATTTTTAAAGCCTCCATAAAGATCGGAATTAAGCCCAGCCCGGTAATTAAACCAAAGTGTCGTTAAATATGTCTTCTCTTAGTAACTGAATCAGCTGCTCTTTGACAGATGCAGTCTAGTGCAAAAGTAAAATCTCCTTCCCAGGCTTTCAGCACTGGACAGTTCCAGCATCGGTCTTTATATGGGGCTTGTGTTCTGTGGCTGTTCAGCTTATGCATATTAAGTAAGCATTAGCTTTAAATAGGGTCCTAGACACACGTGGAATAAGTGTTTAATTACATTAATTGCTTTAAAGTGCATGATATGGTCACAATTTAATATTCTCTTCACAGTCAATCTACATTGGAGTTGATTAAGGGCTTTAGCATTAAAGAAACTGTTATTCACTGCTTCTTCTCTCATAGCCTCTGGTCTTTGGAGGTTAGAAACAGCTTTGTCTATGATGACTTGTTCCAAAGAGGAGGGTGTGTGGTGCTGCATCAATGGAGTTAAATCAGAGGTGTGATTTAAGAATTAAGTGTTTGGGACAAACGATATTTGGGTTGGGAGCCAACTGAGGTGCCAGAAAGGTCTAAAAATATAGAAGAAAGGTCTATATTTACAAACGGATATTTCAGCCTGTCCGTGTAACAAAACGGAAAACCCAGGGAGAGTTTCCTTTATAAACTGGAGCTCTGAAGGCATCAGGATATCTATTAAGGGCATTATAGAAATCCCTGATCCCATATGCGTTTTATTCCTAGGTAGTGCGAATCGGATTGATCTGTAAAACAATGAAAAGGCCGAACTGCTTTATCATTGAAA